ATTTAAAACATCTATTTTTTAAATTTCAGTTGTCTCATTTCATCCCTTAACTTATGTACACTTTAGCTAATAATTACCTGCATAAAGAATTCAGTTTGAGAAAATATTTAATCAGAGAAACAAAATTTTCAATCTAAATTCTCTTTGCTTTATTTCATGCATTTACAATTGTTTCCTTCTAAGAGAAAACTACATAAAATCAATAATTTAGATTTTCATTGTTTTATTTCATCCCTTGACTGATGCACATTTCATTTCCTTTGCGAATATTTCGGTTTTTGTCAGTCAGTTCATCTCTCTGAATAATTGAGGCCCGATCCGACGTTTAATTTTCCCCCCAATACCAGACTCTATCGATTCTCTTCGGTTAATTGGAATTGACACAGTAATTTTCCCATTGCGACTACGTGCCATAATCCTCCACTGCATGCCAATACAGTAGACACACGTCAGTTCAGTTTCTCTTGTTTTGCAGAACAACCAAAATCAATTTCCATATATATTCTATATATTAATAGTTTAATTAATATTTCTTTGAACACAACAAAATCACAGAATATATATAGAATTATATTCAAAGTTATAATTTTGTAGATCATTTTTTTATATTTATTACGAATCTTACATTAATATGTAAGTTTCGTGTTTCTATTTTTCAAATTCTTAAGAATCTAGACTTTTTATTTAAAAAAATACTTACTTGATGATTCATATAGAAAATATTTACATTTTTTTATCCAAATCATGATCTTTAAGGATATTAACAATATTTTCACTATTACTTAGATGTAAAGTGTTAAATGTTTGTATTAACGTTGAGTTTTCCCGAAAATGTTTAAATATGTAATAAAAATGAATTGTTTAAGAATAGATTTAATAAAAAATAAAAATGTTCATTATTGAAACAAATTTGGTAATTAAGGACAAGTTTTTGCAAAAAAAAAATCGAATTTTACATTCCAATTATTGGTGTATTGGTCATCCTGCATTTGGTCTGATAATATTCGCATTTGGAAACGATCGATTTAAAGAATTCAGCGTCTAAACCGGAAGATCTGCAAAATTAAAATTTTGTGTTTTTGCAAAATGAATGCAAATGTTTTTGATTTTACTCACGACGCAATAATTTTGCCCATTTCGCAGAACATCCCGCAGCTACGTGAACTCTGAACGCTATCAACGAAACCGCAGAGCATGCTGAAAATACACGAGTATCCGTGAACGTATCCAGGCCTAAAATGAAAGTGTTAGGAATCGTATGATTTTATTCTGTTTATCATATTTACTGGATGTTATTTTCTGTTTCGATTTCCTCGTGGACGTTTCGTTTCCAGAATCTGTAGAATTTCTGGATGGTATCTGGAAGCTCGTAGTTGACCCTCACGGCGTAAGCGTGGGCTAACAAGATGCCCCATGGCAGAATAGTTACTTTAACATTGAAGCGAAACTGAAGAGGAAGTAATCTGTAGTTTCTCAATAACTTTCAGCAGAGATTTAACTTACGAATAGTTTGGAGTTTTTGCTGAAGAGGACTTTCCTTCGGACCCTGTGCTTGATTTCCTCGCACGGTGCAAGAAGCAGCAGCGAGAACAATGCGACGACGAGGAGGAGCGTCTTTTGTGAATGCGACATTTTCTGTGATCGATTGCCTTTCCTCGAATAAATATTTACACTCGGTATTAACGGGGTCTTTACAGTAATCCAAATAGACGTAGATGCAGGCCGTTCCCGTGAATGAAACTCGCAAATAGCAGATCTGCCGTTTTGAGGATCGCTCCAGTTCACTGCTTTACATAATATCCAATTAGCGGGGCGTGAATTAAGTAAACAGATGAGGTTGAAGAACCGTCGCATTGGGACATCATCAAATGCGATGCAGTGATTTGCCGTTTGGGTAAATGGAAGAAACGAGAATAAATACGCGAAAGAAGTGTTAAGAAAGAGGAAATGTCGTGTATGTATAATAATAATAATATCAGAGGCGGCGTTATGAAAGGGCCACGGATGGGAGCGCACTTGATTATCGCTTTATTATGCCTGGGAATTTGCTGTGGGGATGTGACTAAACGCGAAAATAGGCTATTATCGAGGAGGAAGAGGTATCTCAGCTACCCAGATGGCAGCAATTTCGTCGTAAGTATCCCTATTACATTTATACGAATAAGTTGCGCGAAACGCTTCTTTCCTCATATCTTCATCCAACCGTAACTACCAATAAACTATACACTAATTGGCTTCATATCCATATCCAGGATTAACAAAATTTCAATTAATTTTACTGAAGTACATTTCTTTAAACATAAGAAATTAATAAATCAAGAATCAGTTAATTTTGTAGGACAAATTGGGTTTCAAAATATGTATTTTGTAGTTCAAGTTACAATTTGATTTCATTATGTGATTATCCAAATTTTCAGCTATTTTTACAGAAAAATCAAGAAATCAATTATAGTTACATTTTATATAAAAAAAAATATGTTAAGTTCTTGGATATATTATTCTATATTTAAACAGCAACTTGATTATTCGTGATTTTTGTGCATTACAATACAAATTTTAAGGGTCGTTTGAAAACTTTCAAGGGTGTCTATGTACAAAAAAAAAAGGTTGGAAACCCCTAAAAACTATGATTGGTGAATGTCTAGTGTTACTAGTGTTGAGAAAGTACAATAATATCTCTTCTTGAGGTATATTATGACAAGGATATTTGCGTATTCCTCTTCAAATTATTAGATTATAGCAGATTTCCGGGTGGCCGTGTACACGTAACCCACGGGTTCCGTCGAATCGAGCTCTCTCTCTCTCTCTGCCCGTAATTAGTTGATGTAGCTTTTCCGCAAGTTTAAACGAATTTCCCGGCCGTATATCCGACTGCTTGCCGCATTCGCATCGATTTTCAACGGAACTAACCCCAGACATCCCCTCGCAACTTTTCCTCTAGAACCCCACGACGAGCGAAAAGAAAATAAAGGAAACAAAAAAGAGAGATGAAGAAGGAATCGAATTTCACCTTGACACGAAATTAAATCAAAATTCCAGGTATCGATGATCGCAGTCAAAGGTCTGATGATGACGCTTCCCGACGGCCTCACGGTTAACACTCTCACGGAATGCGATCTTCCCTTCAAACTGCCCAGCGACACGAGGCTTCATCGGAAATACAAGAGGCCGATGAGGGTCAGACACAAGAGAGACATTTTCAATCAGCTGTCCGCGGCTTTCGATGGGTGCGTTAATCCTGTTAATCTAGCTAAAAAAAAAGAAACTTTAACTGAAGTTAATTGAAAAAAAAAAACAGGTTCGGATTCGATGGGATACCTTGCGTGAAACGGATGATATGCGAGGCGCAGGATTACGGACTTCTCAAGGAGAAATCCTTGGTCCAGGATTTAATATACGCCATTTTCAGGTGACTCCTCTTTTCACTTTATCATTTTTTTTTTTTAATCCTAATAAAAAAAAAACTTTGATTCTTTTTTTCAGCGATGCCCAGGAGGTTGGAGAGAAGTTCTCGAATTACTGCCACAATGCAACGTTCAGCCAGTGCGATGTGTCCTTTCTGCACACGATAATGGAGGGCACTTTTACACCCGAAAGCACTTAGTGATAATAAATGTCGTTTTTAATTTCTATTTTGCACCTTCTTTTTTTTAATACCTTCATGCACTTTACGTTTTCAATGTAAGAGAGAAAAAAAAATTATAAATCGGTTACCTTCGCACATTCATATTTATGCACACGTGGCATGCGGAAAATGATGGCCCGAGGCGGACGGCCAAGGAAAAAATTGCGTATAAATAACTTCCAGCGAGAGGAAGATGAAAAACATACAAGATAAATCGTAATTTTTTGTTGTCGCTGCCTGCTGCATATGACCCTAAAGCCTCTTATCATATTTTCTTAGTTACAAACAATAAATTGCGTTGATTATTTAAACTTCATATTATGTAAGAGTTTTTCATATATTCAAGTATATTTTATAGATATAAAGTTACGTACACACCATGCGTAACAACCTACTTAAATATAAATCAGACCGACCAACTTATAATGAAGTAAAATTTAAACTACAATTGTTGATTTTAATGTAAAGCAATTGATAAACCTGATCAGTTTCTAATGTCTTCAATTTTTTTTTATGTCGTATAATTTTATTCACAATCTGTTCATCGATGTGAACATTGAGTAAATTTAAGATCGCGGTTGACAATAGATGGATAATCTTTCGCGGTGGATAGTTACCATTATGATGATTTGAACATTAATAATTACCTAAATCTATATACTGAATCTAGTGGGTTGCAATGCTTCAGCCTGTTTATGGTTTCACTGTTGTCGAGTAGGCCAATAGCTAGAACATTAGTATGTGACTCCAGTCTATCTTGGTATCTACTACTAAATGTTGGTATTGTATCCTCGACCATATCTATATGAAGATCTTCGTGTATTTGTTTATTTCTGACGAACCATGGAGCCCTAATCATATTTCTTAAGCATTTTGATTGAAACCTTTGTATAATTTGTTCGATTTACTGGCCACACCACACAATTGGATACCATACGTCCATACTGGTTTCACTATAACTTTGTATATAAGTAATTTATTTTCCACTGATAATTCCGACATTTTCCCTAGAATCCAGTAGAGTTTTCTAAACTTTATTTCTAATTGCTCCCTCTTAGTCTGAATGTCATCTTTCCAGGTGAGTCTTCCGTCTAGATGCATGCCTAGATATTTGACTTTTGTTGCTTTTGGCAGATCTTCTCCATTAAATCTTACAGTTGAGTAGGTGTCTTTATTTAGCGTGAATGTGATATGCACGGATTTCGTTTCATTAAATGATATTCTCCATTTTTTAAACCATTCTTGTAGCTTATCTAAATTTCCCTGTAGATATTCGGATGCTACTGCTGGATTCTCATCTGATGCTAAGATTGCTATGTCATCGGCAAATGTTGCAATTGTAGTATTGTTAGTTTTAGGAATATCTGCCGTGTATAGAATGTCTTCAATATGAAGCTCTATTTATTAAAATATTGATTGATTTTCTAATAAAATTATTGAAAGAAAAATTGAATGCGATTGAAACAATCTTGTTTTGACAATGTTACAAATGACAACGATAAATATTACATAAAATATGACGTCGATCAAGAAGAAGAAGAAAAAAACAATTGTTTACCCATTAATTACTATTAATATTGATGTGATTATTAAAACAAATTTGCTCTGCGACTGACGGAATATAATTTAATGATTTACTGTTGAGAAGATCGTGTACGAAATACGTTGGAGATGCTGTTGAAAAATGACCTAAGAGCGAGGGGAAAGAAAGGGAACGAATCTCAGGGACATTTTTTTTAAAGACGTTTATAGGACGAAATCCTTTGGAGGGATGGTCCGAAACTGAAGGATAATAGAAAAAAATGAACGAGAGATGAATAGTTTGTCCACGTTAAGCCCATGACTCTCCTTCGGGATTAAATCGTGGGCGCGCGGAAGCAAAGTTGAAAGCCTTGTAAGTGTCAAAACGTATCGCATTTTACCTGCTAACTGCTTAATCCTTCTGTTAAAGTATTAATAGTGGCTAGTGGGAACAGACGCAGTGAGGGATTAAATGAATTGTATTTTTATTTGGAATTATATCAAATTTTTCAAGCTTTATAGATTAACAAAGTTAAACAACGTGTGTAGAGGATAGTAATCGGATGAATGATGAATATTTAGGATAACTTAGTAATTTGGTAATCTTTATAAATGAAAATCTAAAGAGATTTACTTAGCTATTTGATAATTTTTCAAATTGTATTTCGAAATCTTAAAAGATATTCCAAGTAAATTTAATTGAACTTAATAATTTGATAGTTTTATAAATTTTGATTTAAAAACTTAAAAAAAGTGATAAGTAAATAACTTATTCCTAAACTATACCAATTTAGTAGTAGTAAGCAATTAGATAATGTTTTAAATTGTGATTCAAAGACCAAAAAGATTTACGTAAATAATCTTCAAAAACCTACCAATTTTAACACAAAATTCTGAAAAACTTGACGATTTGATGAAAATGTCTTAACTTAAAACAAAAAGATGAACTTAAATCAAAGATAATTACAAACAATAATTAAAGAAATGATCTGTTGAAAGGTATTAAATAAATTTATTATTATCTAACATTTAACATGTCAGTGAGTCAGTTTGCATAGTTTAATTAGATCTGGATAGACTGCTGGTATTTCCCTGATATTACGGTATACTATGCATATATATAAAAAAAGTAAAAGTTGGAGATGCTGTTGAAAAATGATCTAAGAGCGAGGGGAAAGAAAGGGAGCGAATCTCAGGGACATTTTTTTTAAAGACGTTTATAGGACGAAATCCTTTGGAGGGATGGTCCGAAACTGAAGGATAATAGAAAAAAATGAACGAGAGATGAATAGTTTGTCCACGTTAAGCCCATGACTCTCCTTCGGGATTAAATCGTGGGGCGCGTGGAAGCAAAGTTGAAAGCCTTGTAAGTGTCAGAGCGTATCGCATTTTACCTGCGAACTGCTTAATCCTACTGTTAAAGCATTAATAGTGGCTAGTGGGAGCAGACGCAGTGAGGGAGTAAATGAATTGTATTTTTATTTACAATTATATCAAGCTTTATAGATTAACAAAGTTAAACAACGTTTGTAGAGGATAGTAATCGGATGAATGATGAATATTTAGGATAACTTGTTAATCTTTATAAATGAAAATCTAAAGAGATTTACTAAGCTAATTTTTCAAATTGTGTTATGAAATCTTCAAGTAAATTTAATTGAACTTAATAATTTGATAGTTTCATAAATTTTGATATAAAAACTTAAAAAAAGTGATAAGTAAATAACTTATTCCTAAACTAAGCCAATTTAGTAGTACTAAGCAATTAGACAATGTTATAAATTGTGATTCAAAGACCAAAAAATTTACGTACATTATCTTCAAAAACCTACAAATTTTAACAAAAATTCTGAAGAACTTCACGATTTGATGAAAATCTCTTAACTTAAAAAAAAAAGATGAACTTAAATCAAAGATAATTACAAACAATAATTAAAGAAATGATCTGTTGAAAGGTATAAATAAATTGTTATTATCTAACAATTAACACGTCAGTGAGTCAGTTTGCATAGTTTAATTAGATCTGAACGACTGCTGGTATTTCCTGATATTACGTTACACTATCCATATATATAAAAAAAGTAAAAGTTGGTGATGCTGTTGAAAAATGATCTAAGAGCGAGGGGAAAGAATCTCAGGGATATTTTTTTTAAGACGTTTATAGGACGAAATCCTTTGGACGGGTGGTCCTAAACAGGAGGATAATAGAAAAAAATGAACGAGAGATGAATAGTTTGTCCACGTTAAGCCCATGACTCTCCTTCGGGATTAAATCGTGGGGCGCGCGGAAGCAAAGTTGAAAGCCTTGTAAGTGTCAGAGCATATCGCATTTTACCTGCGAACTGCTTAATCCTTCTGTTAAAGCATTAATAGTGGCTAGTGGGAACAGACGCAGTGAGGGATTAAATGAATTGTATTTTTATTTGGAATTATATCAAATTTTTCAAGCTTTATAGATTAACAAAGTTAAACAACGTGTATAGAGGATAGTAATCGGATAAATGATGAATATTTAGGATAACTTAGTAATTTGATAATCTTTATAAATGAAAATCTAAGGAGATTTGATAATTTTTCAAATTGTGTTATATCAAGTAAATTGAATTGAACTTAATAATTTGATAGTTTCATAAATTTTGATATAAAAACTTAAAAAAATGATAAGTAAATAACTTATTCACACGAAATATATACCTAAACTAAGCCAATTTAGTATACTAAGAATTAGACAATCTTATAAATTGTGATTCAAAAACCAAAAGATTTACGTATATAAGCTTCAAAAAACTACAAATTTTAACACAAAATTTTGAAGAACTTTATTTGATGAAAATCTTTTAACTTAAAACAAAAAGATGAACTTAAATCAATAATAATTACAAACAATAATTG